CTTCTCACTAAAATAACAAACTGGTCTGCACTCTTGAGAAAAAATAGCTCCTATACCCACTTCACCAGCATCACAGTCCACTTCAAACAGTTTATCAAAATCAGGTAAAGCAAGAACAGGTGTAGTACATAATTTTTCCTTTAAAATAGTAAAACTATTCTCGGCTTCCTCTCCCCATAGAAATTTACCCTTCTTCATACATTCAGTAATTGGGGCTGCGATAGTACTAAAATTCTTAATAAATCGCCGATAAAAAGTAGCTAACCCATGAAAACTCCTAACTTCAGAAACTGTTTTAGGAGTCGACCATTCTCTAACTGCTTCGCTTCATCTACCTCTATTCCTTCAGCATAAATAATAAACTCCAAGAATAACAGCTTATTAGTTAGAAAACTGCACTTCTTAAGATTAACATACAGCTTATTAATTTGCAATGCTGTCAACACCTCCCTTAAGTGCATCAGATGATCTTCCTCAGTCTTACTATAAATCAGGATATCATCAAAATAAACTACAACAAATTTGCCAATAAAAGATTTCAAAACCTGATTCATAAGCCTCATGAAAGTGCTCGGAGCATTATAAAGCCCGAACGGCATCACCAACCATTCGTACAACCCCTCTTTTGTCTTGAAAGCTGTTTTCCACTCATCTCCGGGTCGAATTCGAATCTGATGGTACCCATTCTTCAAATCCAGCTTCGAGAATCACTTAGCACCGTGCAATCTATCCAGCATGTCATCCAATCTCGGAATTGGAAACTTGTAACCCACGGTTATTTTGTTGATGGCTTTGCTGTCTACACACATTTTCCAACTCCCATCTTTCTTATGAGTTAACAAAGCCGGAACAGCACACAGGCTCATGCTATTCTGAATATGCCCCTTTCGCAACAACTCCTCCACCTTCTCTTTCATAATCTTACTTTCCTTAGGACTCATCCTGTAGTACAGTAAATTAGGCAGACTAGCACTAGGAATTAAGTCGATATGGTGCTGAATATCGCGCATAGGCAGCAACCCATCGGGAATCTCCTTAGGCATCAGCTCACAAAACTCCTTCAATAAAGGCTTAACTGATTCGAGTTGCTCCTCCACTTGTAATTCAGCTTCAGTCTCCACTGCTTGTTTCACGACCAGCACGTGAATCTGTCGGGTCTCCTTAATCTCAGCTTCAAATTTCTTTGTAAGGGTAAGGAAATTATTTTCAGCAACTCGTTTCCCTTTATTCTTCAGTGGCAGCAACGTATACTTCACTCTATCCTTCACGAGATTATACTGATTGCTTTGTCCTGAATGCTGAGCATCTACATCAAATTGCCACGGCCTCCCAAACAACACGTGACATACGTCCATGTCTACCACATCACAATACAGCTCATCATGATACTTACTAATGGAGAATGGAATTTTACATCGCTCAGTCACCTGAATGTTTTCCGCTCCAGATTTAATCCATCATAACGTATAGGGATTATGATGCTTCTCCACAGGTATTCCCAGCTTCCTTACTGCCTCCTTCCCAAAGATATTCTTCATGCTTCCACTATCAATAACCACAGCAAAAATTTTACCCAGAATGGTGCACCTCGTTCGGAATAATTGATGGCGCTGCGAATCATCTTCCTGTTTTGGGGCTAACATCATTCTGCGCACCACACAATTTACTTTCGTATCTTCTTCATCTTCAAAATCATCTTCCTTACCATCTGGATCACAGTAAAATCCATCTTCCTCATCTTCTCTTGCTATCACGTTTACGGTCTTTTTCTGAGGACATTCATTAGATCGATGCCCAGGTTGATTACACCGGTAACATTTTATCGCGGCTGGTTTAGCATAAGGATTCGGGTTCGCAGTTTTCTGTGCTTGCGTTCCCTTATCCTTCGGCTCGTTCATAGGTCGCTTTTCGACCGCCTTATCCTCTTGACTTCGCCCTGAGTTGTAGCGGTTGTTGAAGCCGCTTTTCTCTATCGAACTGTTCGAACTGCTACCGCGATAATTTTCGCGAGGATTTTCGTAGCCTCTTTTTCCCCTCTCTTGTTGCATCAATTCTGCCTTCATCGCCATATTCTTGGCTTCAGTTAAATTTCGCAGAAACTGCACTCCAATTTTATCTCGAATGAAGGGTTTCAAACCATCGAGATATCTAGTCACCTGTTGTCCCTCCATCTCCGATAAAATTTTCCGCTCCGCCAATCTCATAAATTCGGCCATATACTCATGTACAGTCCGATTGCCCTGATGGCAACGTTGGTACTGCTGGAACATAATCTGCTCATAGTCGGATGGAAGGAACTCCTGTTTCAGCAGCCTCCTCATTCTAGTCCAAGTTCGAACTCTCTCTTTTCCTTCTGGCACCCTCCTATTCTGCAATCTCTCCCACCATGCAGACGCACCCCCTTTAATCTACAGGCCACTAATCGCGCCCTTTTCTCACCAGGAGTTTCCATATAATCGAAAAATTTGTCTATATCAGCAATCAAATCCAGAAATTCTTCTATGCCCAGACTTACATTAAAATAAGGGATATCGACTTTTAATTTAAAGTTGTTACCTTCACGATCGTTGTAACGCCGTCTTCCATCTCTCCTATCTCCATGACGATTTCTACCACCATAATCAGCACGTTCCTCATCAGAAAATTCGTTTTCTTCTTCTTCCGAACTCTCTAAAAACAGAGGGTTATCCTGCCTGCAGACAGGAACAGGCCTATCAACAGGATTACCGCGAGCAAGATCTACACCCAGCCTTCTGTCGTTCTGCCGATTCCGGTTCACATCAACGCTGAGACCTTCAAACCGATCTGCTAATTCGTTAAATCGTTCTTCGAAACGATGAAGACTTTGATCGAATCGTTGATCCAAGCGTTCCATTAACCGCTGCTCCAAACGTTGCAGCGCGTCGTCCCCAGGATTTGGGGGTACAGTCTCCTGATCATTGTGACGAAGACCACCGCCAGACGCCATAGGCTTTGATACCACCTGACGCAGCGTTGAACGAATAATTCAAGCAAAACCTTGCTTAGAGAGAAAAATCTTGAAATTCAATATTGACAATAACAATGTTTTGTCTTCAAAACGAAATCCTAAACACCCTTTTATAGGGTTAAACCTAATTATAATAGAAAACCTAATCATAATAGGAAAGTTAATAAGCATCAAATAGCAAAAATTACAAAACTGCCATTACGAAATTAACTCATAAAAAATATTAAAAAATAGAAAAACCCATCTAAACGATCTCGAATCGCTAAAATCCATCGTAGGTCACGGCCATAGGCGGTGAGTTTTGTTCAGAAGGCCGTTTCACTTTAGACAACCGAATTTGAGCTCGATCTGATGTGGTCGATCGGGTCCGCCGGTACTAGTCGCATCACTGTTTAGCCTTCCGTTTGGACTTCTGCTTGTCCAATCGGTCCAGAAATGCTCCACTAATAAATTCCGCATCATTTGCTAACCAGTCAATCTTTTACTATAACCGTTGATTTTGCTCTAGTTTCACTTGGGCACAATTTTGTAGCTCAAATGGGTTCTTGTGGCTTTTCATGTAAAAGTTTAATTTTTTTCGAATTTAAACAAATGAGGAGTTATTTGACTCACCGAAGAACTTCGTTTTTTGAATTTTCTTTCTACCAGACTCCACATTCTAAATTTTGAAGTTCTCTTAAGTTGAATTATCCACAATTTCTTTCGATGTGGCTTTTAAGTTTTTTCCAGGAGCTAAGGCATTTTCTCTTAAGGGGAATCCGCAATTTCGTCCGTCGTGGCTTTTCGCCAGTTCTGCCCGAACCAAAGATGGTCGAATTCCGTGGCCCAGTTCAGCCTGCTGGGATTATCTATCCAGAAAATAAATAAGACCATCCTCAAGTATCCGCGTCTCACCAAGTTGGACGAGAAGTTGGTGATCTTTTACATTGGTTACGAAGAGTTCAAGAAAAAGATTAAAGAATGGATCATCGGTCACATGAAGGAAACGGTCAGGCATCAACAAACTGGCAGATTGAAGAATGGGTCGGCGAGTCTCGAGCTGGAGGTAAGCGAAAACTTGATGAGGTCAAACTGTGATGATCTCGATCTCGAAGTGTGGAACCGATGGAGTTCGACAAGAGCGTCATCATCGGCACATCGCCACCGAGCTCGCTATACGGGGACCGAGGCGGGATGCATGGCGCAATCAGTGAGAACCTCTGACCATTCAAGATGAGTAAGTTGGTCTCTAGGTACATGCTCTATCTTATACTATTCCATCCCTCCGTGTTGCCAACAGGGATAGGGGTGCTCTGATACAAAGATACTGAAGGGTTCATCAACGAAAAATAACGCAGCGGAATATAGAACCCTAGACAGGATCCATGTGTATATTGAAATCGAAAAGGAATTTCGATACGTACCTTTTGCAGATCGAAGATAAATCAGCAACTGATTGTGTCTGGATGAGCGCCCCAAGTGTTGCGCCTCTACCGGTATCCACACACACGAACGGAATTCTCCAACGATCCACGTGCTAGCGAAAGATCTTGAAGTTCCTTTTCTTGAACGCCTTTTGATTTTCGATACTCTATCGAAAAATCCTAGACAGAGAACGATTCTCTATCTATTTATACAGCCTCATTATCTAGCGGAATTAAAAAAAGTGGGCCGGGCTATTTGGGCCCGCCAAACTGTCCACCTTCAATCGTACGTTTAATCGTTATCTCATAACGCGTACGGCCGCATAGATAATTTAAATAGGAGAATAAATTAAAATCTACTTCTTAAGTAGATCAAGGCGCATAGACAATATTAAGTCCGTTCGCTATTGTGTGCGACCCTGTAGGTTCACTAAACATTAGCAGTGTGCCCAAAACTCTTTTGGCCCACAAGTCATAAGCGGTCTCTAGCAAGACATTATGACTACCTAAGTATAGTGAAGGTCGATTTCCGACACAACCTAATCCACAACTAATATTAGAGTATCAACCTTGATTGATTCTTAGGGCAAACCACTAACAGATACTTCGGTCGAGATTCAGAAGTTCTTCGAGGAGAAGGTAAGGGAGACGTCAAAGAACGAAGGCAGCGTCTCATCGGTCGTCATTAAGTGGGCAAAGATAATATTCAAGAAAGAGAAACATTTCCACGCTATTGATCATTTCTGCACTGGTGTTAAAAGCTGCAATAAGAGCCACAAGTCAGGAGAGTCGCGCAATCTGTGCAAATTCTGCTGTCTTCTGCTCCAAATGAGAACTGACCTCCCCAGGACGAAGATGCGCAGAGGCGAAAACAGGTCGGTGTTGTTTGACGCATGCCATCTTGCATCCCAGTTGATTGGCGTGGACAGGAAATGGGACTTGATCGGCAAGGTCTGGGCGAAGTTGCTGATATACGCGGCTTGCCAATGCAAAGGCCACGAACACTGCGAGAGCCTGAGCGGAGGAGGAGAGCTTCTCAGTCATATTTGGCTTCGCATGGCGCATCTCGGCATTGCGGAGGCAGTAGATACTTCCGAACCCCAAGGCCCTGCCAAACTGATCAAATACTAGATGTTTCGGGTGGAAGGAGTCTTTTGGTTTAACCCTAATGTTATTTGAGTAAAGAAGATAAATAAGTGAAGCTCGTCATCATCTTGATGAGATGGTGAGGGAGTTGTTTCAATATTTGTTGTTCTTGGAGTCTGTCAGGAAATAATGAAACTGTGTGTCTGTTGTTAATCACCAAAGGCATTATTACCCTCAACTGAAGCCAGCCAAATTGGCACGGAGAATTTGGGTCCCTTCTCCGCTCAAAGTGGTTAGTAACTTTTCAAATGGTGATTTGGTTAGCAACTCTTTAACGTAATTAATTTTCACTCTGGTTTGTAAATCTTTAGTTTTGAGAAAGCAATTATGTATTCATCCGCGAGACTAAGACCGGAAATATTATTAGAGCGATTCCTAAGTTTCAATTAGAAAAAGTAACTTTCAACCTATCAAAAATTAGTAGCCAGCTTGTTCACGCGGTTAATAATTTTTTACTTAGAAAAATCTAATTTCAAGCTGATTTTGTCTGTTTATAACTTTTAGTTATATTTTTTCCTCATAAATTTGAACATACAAAACAATATTTTAAGTTTCGAAAAAGAATGAAAACCTCATTGCATAAGATTTTACGTGACAATATTTGAATACTTTTAAAAGTTTCTAGTGCTTCGTTAAAAACAAAAGTCAGAGATGAGCACCGCAAAATTTATAGAAAATTAAAATAGTTAATTATGCCTATTAATATAAATTCGACTCATCTCCATTAATTATGCCCATCTAAGAGAGAAGCCTTTCCTCTACATAAAAGTTTTAAAGGTTTTGTAAGTAGCAAAAGAAAACTTTAGCACATTCAATACGCTTTAATGAGAGGAGCCTTTCTTTCACAAAAACAAGTGTAAAATTTTGGTAAATCAAAGTATAGATATTTGAGATATATTTTTAAAGTCTCGATCTAATTACAAACATCTTATAGTATTATAGACTTTTATATTGTAAAATGAACTAGGATCAACAATTATGTAATAAAAAAAATATTTCAAAATGTATATAAACTCGTCATGATTCCTAATATATACAAAATAAATTTCATTAGGCTATACACAATAAGATCGATAGTATTTTCACTCAAGTTGAATAAGTAAGCGTCAGAAAGAAATTGTTGTTTTATTTTTTATTTTTCTTTACATCAACTAACGAAAAAGAATGGTATAACTGTTTAACTTTCAATTAGTTTCAAAATATCACCACTTACTTTTCAATTATGTCAAGCATTTTTGGGATGTAGCAATTCAGATACGTATAATTTGAAAAGGCCTAATTCCAAAAGAAAGCACCAATTTTAGGTTGAGTGACAATTATGGCCCCAACTTTTTTTTATCTTGTACAAAAGCACCAACTTTAGGTCGAATGATAATTCTAGCCCCAACATTTTTTTGTCTCATAAAAAATCACCAACTTTCATTTAAATCCTAAATCTGGCCCCCCTTAACTTAACATTATTGATTTTCCAACTTGACTATTCCATTTCCGCAATAAATTCACATGGCTTGCTGAGTTGATTTAAAGAACTATTCATTATCTTCTTCTCTGAGACAAGGCTTGAAGAATAACGGCGAAACTATTCGTCTCCGTCACTTCACTGGCAAGTCAAAAAGATCTCTAAATTGAATCTCTTAGGTCAAACTTCATTGTTTTATCGTAATTTGAAGTTGTAGACCACCGCACGTCAACATACGCTGTGGACGAGATTCGCCAAGCTCACGACCATAACCTTTTTTCTCAAACAAGGGTGACTTCAGAGAGAGAGAGAGAGAGTCAACGGGGGGCCATATTTGGGATAAAGATGAAAGTTGATGATTTTTTATGAAACAAAAAAAAGTTGGGGTCAGAATTGTCACTTGACCTAAAGTTTGTACTTTTTTATGAGATAAAAAATAGTTGAGGCCAGAATTGTCACTCGACCTAAAATTTGTACTTTTTTTTAAAATAATCCAATTTGAAAAGGTACATATATGCTACCTTTAGCCATCCAATTCGTCGTCGTACTCCGCCAAGTCAAGGCTTTGCCTTTTGTACTAAGGAAACTTATTTGATAGTTGATCGTTTTTTTTTAATATAACTCTTGCTCAATTTTCTTAATAAAGTGCTAAACCATTCACACGCATAGAGTGCAACGTTCTACTACATCAGACAATTTTTAATAACATTTTAGTATTTTTTTCGATTTTTGAATTTTTTCCTTTTTTTCTTTTTTTCTCTATTTTCCTAAGCGAAGGTGAGCGAAGGTCGACCCTTCCCCAGATCTGGTCAAGGCCATCGCAACCGCGGCAGCGGGCGAGGCAGCCTCGCCGGCTACTATTGAAAAAAAAAGAATAATAGGAAAAAAAATGAAAATAATTAACAAAAAATTTTGAAAAAATATCAAAATATTATTAAAAATTGTCCACATTAACGCCGGCCATGTCCCGTAGGAAGGCCTGTGTCCATGTAAGCAAATTTCAGTCAAAATTGACCGAATGAACCCAATTGGCAAAAGGAGAAATGGTTATGACTCAATTGACAAAATTAAAATATTTATAACTGAATTGGCAAAAATGCAATAGGTATAGAACTTTTTGGACAATTTTCCCTAGTAATAATATCCATCGTGGTATGACCGAACTAATGTATAATTAAATATTCTATAATTACTTTTAAATAAAAGTTGCCATCGGCTTGGTAGTCGTAGGAGAAGTAAAAAAAACTGATCTCTATCCCCATATGGTTCATAAAAGTAGGAAACTGGATATTCAATCTAAGTGGTTGGTTTTGCTTTGTCTTTTTATCTCCACAATATCATCCAGCAACTTCTCCATATCTTGAAAGTTAGCCACAAAATTGAATTCACCAAGCGCAAAATTATTTTTAAAACGGTATTGTTATCTGATTTTGGCCAAATCTACTTGAGTTTCAATTTGTTAGCAATGTCATATTTCTTTTACATCATGTTTATGAAGAGGAATGATAATACGAATATTAACGTGAAATCACAACCGTACCCTTTGGTGATTTATAAGATTGTTCTCAAAATAAAAATTTCATTTCTTTAATTCTCTGAGATTATTCATTCCTACCATTTTTTTTTTCATACCGGAATTACAGAGATTCACAAGTAATGCAATAATACAACTAATTCACTGCGTTAGTCTTTAATCCTTTGATTAGACATTATTTTTCTGGTTTGACACCTAAATAAAAAAGAAATATTATGGAAATGAACTTCACTTGCAAATTACTTAGACGTCAACGCTCGGCTTAGCAACAACAAAAGTTTAGCAAATCAAAAATCACTTTTTTCTAACGGTTATCACAAAATATTTTATTGCATACGAAATTTCCTAATTTTACGTAATTAATTAATTTATGATCACTCTAAATAGTTAGAAAAACCGAAAGGGAAGCAGAAAATGCCTTTGAGGTTCGGTAATTTTGTGTATGTTCATACAGATTTGGCGAAAAGTAAAAGGTAACAAAAGATTAGTTCAAAATTTCGAAGGGATGAAGAGGTAGGACAGGATCTAAAGGAAAATCATTTTCTTCTATTATTTTCTAAGGAAATTAGATTGCTTTTCCCCACAAACTGTATGTTTATGTGTAATTTGTCTCCATCGCTGCCGCTGAATTGTCTGCGGCGTGCTTTCACGTTCGCATGCGACTAGTAAAGCATGTGTTCCAACCTCAAATCATATGCATTTGAAAACATGATTACTCAGGTTCGCAAGAGAACTGGGCATGCTTTGTTCAGTCAGCCTGTGAATATACGTTGCTCGACATGAAACGAGCTACGAGTTTTATGGACCGAAAGCTCGATAGTAAAGTTTAGCGGAGCGAGGGAAGACATTAGGAAGAAAACGCACGATTCGTTCCATGAATCACATCACTATGCAAATGATCTCGTTCTTTCGTTGACTGACATTGGCACGTACGCTGCACAGTGGAAAGAGAAAGTGGGGGAGGTAGTGGCACACTGAGAAACTTTCTGCAGTATGATCAAGGCCATAAAAAGTTGCTATTCAACATAAAGTTTATGGGAGAAGTTGAGAATTGGGTCGCAAACTTGCTGTGCTCTCTCCTCGATGATGAAACAGTGCCGGTCTAGAATGACGGCGTGGAGCTTGAACATGTTTCCTTGCATGTAGTCCTTGGTACAGTAGCCAAGTCATCGGGAATGAGATTCTTTGATAGATAAATATACAAGGATCATTTGGTAGACCAAGGAAGTTCAAATCTAGCAACAAAATATAAGATGCAAAATGTAGGTTTTCAAAGTGCGGATGTAAATTGATGTATGGACAGAAAAATGAGAACGATAAGACTCAATATAATGGCCATGTTTTCTTTCCCCTCCTGTTTGGAGGAAAGGAAACTTCATTCAACCACACTTCTTATTAGTTTTTACAACCATAGACATTTCCCATATTAATATAATTTGGTTTATTTTACATATGATTGATGCCTGCAACTTATAATCCATCAATCGAAAGGATGATTGGAGCAATTTTTTCTCTAACCCTCTTTTTGGAACTTTGATAAGCACAACCTAAATTCCACGTAAGTTCTGTGATTGTGTCGCGAAATAAAAAATCCGCACATATCATAAGCATCATCCGAACTTCGTATCGTCATTCGAACATCGATTGACAATGGGAATTTAGGTAGCCAAAAAAGAATATTTGTTGTTTCGAGGAGAGTCCAAATATATTTTTTTCTTTTTTCTTTTTGTTAATTTGGAGTAAACTCATGTTAGTATTAGGTTTGCCTCTTATACATTTTCATGTTAATTCATGTCAATATATAAAATATCGTATATGACTTTTATTGAACAAGTCCAAAAGAAAATGAATTACGACACAAATACATAGTAATTCTTGCCAATGTACAAGATAATCGTGTCGTTGCGTTATTGTGTTCGGATATCGTCGTTATAATGGAAAATTTGGTTGTTAAAAAAAATAATGGCAAATTTGGGGGCCATGAATATCGACCGTGAAACAGACCAAAAGTAGACAAAAAGAAGTGAAGAGGGTCGTCTGAAAGTCAGCTGCTAAGGTCAAACAAGTGATGGGGTTGCACCAGCAGTAGCTAAACAAAAAGACACACTCAGACGTTGTCCAAAAGCTCACCTCTCTTCTTTTCAAACCTGTCATTCCGA